ATTTCAAAGCTCCATTGTTACTATCTTGAGATCTGTTTTAATGGCATGTTCAAGAAATCACTTGACCAAACCTTAAGTGCCATGTCTCAGATCCTCTTGATCTCATAAAAATGGATCTGTGGATATTTTTCATACAGAAATGAATGGACCTATGCACATATATGTACATACACATGTTTTCTTCGGTCAGACAGTTCATAATTCAAATGGTAAGGAAGATCTAGCAATTCCTAGAGACTTTACATTGGTATATTTGAATTTGTTTGACTTTAAAATTTGTAAATATTTGTAACATTTAACTTCTTACAGAATATTCTCATGGGGGAGAGAGGATTAATTGTGATAACCTAACCAGGTTCCAGCCTCCCTACTTATCACTGTTTCAGAAATCTCACAGCATTGCAGAAATAACTCCCCTTACGAAACTCTGGCCCAGGTCACCCAAGTTTCTCTTTCTACCTACTAAAGGAGATCAAAATGCCTAAGACCTCATATTCAAGAACACAAAAAGAGGCAAAACTAGCAAGATCCATAGACATGATCAAGTTCAACACTTCTCATTACTGTCTAGAGTAGTGACCTGAGCTTCCCCTCTCCACCAGGCCAACCCCTGTCCATCCTTCATCTCTCTCTCTGGCTTCTGCTCTGATTGGCAAGTGCTCTTCCTATGAGTTCATTTGGATTTCTTTCTCAGGAAAATAATATTGAGTAGTACAGATGTCAACTGCCCCCCTTATCCCCACAGTTGTCTAACACTTCACCAAAAAAATTCACTGTGTAAATTGGTTTACACACACTCTGCCATTAACAACTTTGAAATTCTGTTTGGGAATCTCTCTTCTTCAGAGTCACCTTTGTTATCCCTCTTTCCTGGTGGCACCCTGGCCTCCCGGATTCTCTAGTCTCTCTTATGCAGAGCAATTCTGTCCAGCATTCCAGAAGCATCTCGGTGTTTAAGAAAACACAATCATGCAAATAACAGTATCTGCTTTCTCCAGAGGAAATGTATCCAATCTGATGTTTACTGATCTTGCTCTTTGAAATCTTTCCCTGCATACTTGCCAAGTTGCTTCAGTTGTGTTCGACTCTTTATGACACTATGGACTGTAACCCTCCAGGCTCTTTGGTCCATGGGATTCCCCAGGCAAGAACACTGGAGTGGATTGCCATGCCTTCCTCCAGGGGATCTTTCTGACCTAGGGTTTGAACCCACATCCTATCTGATGAAATAAAAGTAAATTGGGATTTTATGGTTGTTTTCTCTGGAGCTCTACCAATGTGATTCAGCTACCCTTTATGTTTCTACTTTGTCTTCCATCCTACATTTATCCAGCAGTTTCCTCACTTACACTGCCTATATGTCTTTTCTCTACCTCACATATACCCACTTGCTTACTCATAGTTTCTGCTTCCCTCATAACTTCAGCCTATACATTAAATTATCAAGACCACTCTGACTTTTCAGTTTATGCTCCCAGTACTGCCTACCTCAAATATTTAAACTAAAAACAGTTGATTTCCCCAGGTCATCTTTTAAATCTGGTCCTATCATAACTCATTGGAAACAGATGGATTGACTGCCCTTAGTCTGAGGCCTCGCCTGGTTGTCCAGTTGTGTATGGACATGGTACAAAGATGATCATCCAGACTCACTCCTTCTGCAGCCACTGTAGTAGCTTTGGTTCAGTTCAGTCGCTCAGTCCTGTCTGACTCTTTGCGACCCCATGAATCGCAGCACACCAGGCCTCCCTGTCCGTCAGAAACTCCCAGAGTTTACTCAAACTCATGCCCATCGCGTCGGTGATGCCATCCAGCCATCTCATCCTCTGTCGTCCCCTTCTCCTCCTGCCCCCAAACCCTCCCAGCATCAGGTTCTTTTCCAATGAGTCAACTCTTTGCATGAGGTGGCCAAAGTATTGGAGTTTCAGCTTCAGCATCAGTCCTTCCAATGAACACCCAGGACTGATCTCCTTTAGGATGGACTGGTTGGATCTCCTTGCAGTTCAAGGGACTCTCAAGAGTCTTCTCCAACACCACAGTTCAAAAGCATCAATTTTTCTGTGCTCAGCTTTCTTCACAGTCCAACTCTCACATTCATACATGACCACTGGTGTAGTAGCTTAGTTCTCCTTAAATTGGCCCAGTGTAAAACAACTATTATGATTGTGGTAAGTTATATCACCTGTAGTTCCATCTTTCCTATTGCAATAGATAGGTGGTCCCCAGCCCAGATCCCCTTTATGAGCCCCTTTTATTGCTTCTGCTAGTTAGGAGCTTCTCAGGGGTTGCTCCCAGGCTCTGGATCCTCCCATTGGCCACCTGCGGTTGTTCAAGGAGGTCAAGATTCTGTTTGCGTAAACTGCTGTTGGTCTTCTATAATTTGTCCATTCTTTGGTGGTCACTGAGAGAAGAATGAATACACTCTTCCTGAAGCACGTGGTACTCAACTTCATAAGCCTGTAACTTTAGAGGGGTCCATCTCAAACACCTGGCTGATAGTCTTCAACATCTGCACCAAGCCTAGGTTGAGTAGTGTGCTTTTTATAGAGTCAGCTATGGTTTCTAGGTTTTCTTGCTGCAGAATCAAGGGCTTATGGCATCCCAGCAGACTTAAAGCCACTTTAAATATGACCTCTGAGTGCTGAGGAAAGAGCATATCAAAGACTCTGGCAACGAAGCCCAGGGGGAACTGCGAGGCAAACAAGGTGAGGAACCAGGGCGTGGCGTAGAGGCTGGGGCTGATCTCATGCTCCTCCAGGTGTGGTAATCATGGAACAGCCTTGAGAGCTGGTACATCTTGATCTGTAAAATAATAATGTCCGGTCGATACTGTTGCCGCAGCCACATGTCAAACATCAGAAACTTGAGCATGTTAAACATCTCTTCTTCATCCATGTGAAGCAGCAGGATGCCTGCTACAAAGCTGAGACCTTGGCAATAGCCCACTTCTTCGTCTAGAAGCGAACAGGCCTTCAGGATGTTGTAAAGTGACAGCTGCCCTGCTCCTAGCTGAGCAGCATAGTACCAATGTGTTGGAAAGGTTTGCCCAAGGTCAATGAGAATGGTGTGCTGCTGGGAGGTGAGCTGCTTTAAGAGCTCTTTATAGGGCATGTCGTTGGGCTGCTGTTTGCTGAGGAACAGGTGCTTCAGGTGGCACTGCTCCACCAAGAATTTCCAGATTTCACCCCGGTCATGTCATGGCACACCTTGGCCAACAGCCAAGTGCATTTTTTTCCATGTCAAACTTAGTTTGTGATCTTCCTGGAGTGCTTAGCATCTTTCCCCACACTGTAGTCACTTCTTCAAGACAAGGAGTGATTTCTTCATAATCAAGCTTTAGGCACTTGTTCAGCAAATCATTCTCAGAGGCTTGCAGCTTTTGATTTTCCTTTTCCATCCTGAGCAGCAGTATCTGTTGTAGGGATGGCCTTTTGCCACAGCTCTCGGAGTTCAAGAGATGTCCTTTTCTTTTCCTCTGGGACAGGTCTGAAGGGTTCATCTTTACAAACTGGTTCTAGAGGAGATCGTGGGGAAAGTTCTCCCAGCTCTGAATAACCTTCGTATCTGCTGGGAGAATCACAGGCCTTCTGGGGGGTGCCACTTGAAGGAAGATCTGCTGCCTCCATGAGTGTCTCCGCGTCTTTGTGGGGGTCCTGCTGACATCACCCACGTGGTTGGCTTTGGACTCAAAGTCCTTTCGTTCATGAGGAGTCTCTGTGCTCACTGAGTGATACCTTACAAGCTTCTTTTGCGAGACCCCGGGGGACCCCCATGCTGGCTGCGGAAGCCTGGCATTCCCCAGGGACATGACTTGGGGTGTTGGCGTGCCTTTGGAAGCCCTGCTTGGGTGAGAGCAGGGCTGGCTGTTTGGTGGGTTGGCTCTCCATGTCACTGGACAGGTCATCCAAGGAGCTGAGGAGCCTGAAGCAGCTCTTGGAGATAGGCAAGGCCTCCTTCTCACAGCCAGACAGCTCTTTGCCGGTGTTACTGAATGTCAGACACAGAAGTGTCCAGACCCAGACTGGCTGAGTGCTCCTGGAGGCCTCTGGCTTTATTATCCTGGGACAAAATACTTTCTAGAGGTTCTGTTAAAGACCTCTTTACTTTGTTTTTCAGTATATCTAGCCTAAATCGAGTGGTACTTGATGGTAATTCACTTCCAATATTATCTGCTACAATCTGTGATGTCTGTTTTATCTCCCCAGTATGGACATGAACTTTTAGCTTCTTTTCATGTAAACATCTCAGGAAAGAAATAACCAATTCATTCTCTCACTTCTCATTCCTTGATCTCAATTTCTGAACCTCCTCAAAAATAGTTGCTTGCTCCTGATTAGTTAATGTTGTCAGGTGCTTCTGCTGTACCAAGGCCACCGTGAAGGCTTGCTTCAGGGTCATCATGACCTTGATAGGTAGTTAGAATAGGAAAAAGGAGTCCAAAATGGCAGTGACTAAAAGACACACACAAAAAAAGAAAAGCCTGCAGAAATGGAAGAAAAGAAAATCTGAGGACCAGAGTGAGAACCTCAGGTAAAACAAACAGCCCTCCTAGCTAGCCCAATTTACATAGGGCAGGCTCAGGGGGAAGAGAAAAAACATAAAAAGAGGAGCCAAAATTGAGCCCTGCCTCTTCTTTTGGGTCGGACCGCCCTCACACCTCAAGGATATATTTTCCTTTGCTTGCCAAATAAAACTGAGCTGTAACCAAACTGTAACACTGGTCTACCATTTCAAATTTTTGCTGCAGTGAGACAGAAGCAAGGAAATTACACACTCCCCTGACAATCTCATCCACCAGAGCTTCATTTGTGCGCTGAAACACAGAGGAAATGAAAGCCTCTACCTCCTTAAGACTCCCAGCAGATGAAACCAAAGTGGTCCACATATCAAATACCCTGAGAGCAAAAGGATATCTCGTGAAAATTTTTCTCCAACGCTATTTTTTTGGTGTCAGGACTGATGAGGCAAACTTCAGATTGACCAATTGTGAAGAGCATAGTTCAAGCTTCCACAATATTGAGTCCACTAATCAGGTGGTTCTGGATGTCGCTTTCCTCAAAAGAGCTGAAGAAACTACTACTCCGCAAGCCTGCATCCTGAAACTCCTCTCTGAAGGCCAAGGAGCCGCAGCCAAGGCTTTGAGAAGGACTAGAGCGCCGGCTGAGGGCCTGCTCAGCATCCCCCAGCGGCTGCAGCACAGACTGAAGCTGATCCAAGAGGAGAAGCCACCTCTCACGTGACTGAAGCCCTCCATGCACTAGTTGATCAGGGCTGGTGGAGCCTTCCTGAGCGCCATCACCCTGTGGCCCCAGAACAGCACCTCGAACTTCCTGGCCAAAATGTCATCGAACTCCGTCAGGCAATGCAGCTCCTCCCAGCGGGCCTGCTGGATGGAATTGAGGATCTCAGGCACCTTGGCCACCCAGCTGAACAATGGTGACATCGCGGGCCAGGCGGCAGCTCATTGTCCTGGGCTCCCCCTTACTCCCACCGCCTGCCCAAGGGGTGGCGGGCAGCCAGGGGCCGGCTTGGGGTGCAGCAGAGCGGGGCATGGCTCCCCTGGCTGCCGCAGCAGACTCCTCCCCACCCGTCACGTGGTGAAAGTGAAAATGAAGCCGCTCAGTCGTGTCCAACTCTTTGCGACCCCATGGACTGTAGCCTACCACGCTCCTCCATCCATGAGATTTTCCAGGCAAGAGTGCTGGAGTGGTTGCCATTTCCTTCTCCAGAGGATCAAACCCAGGTCTCCCACACTGTAGGCAGATGCTTGGTTCTGTTTTTTGAGGAAACACTATATAGTTTTTACATAGTGGCTATACCAAATTAATATTTCAACCAACATTACACATCCATCTTCTCAGCAACCCATACTATTTCTTGTCTTTTTCATAATAATCTTCAGATATGCATTAAGTGATAACCATTGGGAGTTTTGATTTGCATTTCCCTATTTATAAGTAATGTTGAGCACCATTTCATGTACCTGTTGGCCATCTGTGTGTCTTCTTTGGAAAAAAAAAAATCTAGTCAAATTCTCTGCCTATTTTTTAACTAGATTGTTATTTTGCTATTGAACTCTATGTGTTTTTTATATATTTTGATTATTATTCCAGTATCAGATACTTGGTTTGCAAATATTTTCTCCCATTCAGGTGGTTGTCTTTTCACATCATTGCTGTGGAGAGGCTTTTAGTTTGATGCAGTCTCACTTGTTTTTGTTTTTATTGTTTTACATTTGGTATCAAATCCATGAATCATTGCTAAGACCTATGTCAAGGAACTTACCACTCTGCTTTCTTCTAGAAGTTTTATGGTTTCAAGTATTATGTTGAAATCTTTAAGCCATTTTGAGTTAAATTTTGGGTGTGGTATCAGATGGTCCACTGTCATTCTTTTGCATATGTTCCAGATTCCCAACACCACTGACTGAAAACTATCTATTATATAGTCTTGGCTCATTTAAGAAAATTAATTGACCATATACAAATGGACTTATTTCTGGGCTCTCTTCTTTTCCATTAATCTATGTCTCTGCTTTTATGCTAATACCATACTGCTTTCATGATTATAGCTTTTGTGATATAGTTTGAAACTAGGTACTGTGTTGTCTCCAGCTTGCTCTTCTTTCTCAAGATTGCTATGGCTTTCAGAGTCTTTTGTGGTTCTGTATACATTTTAGGATTGTTTGCTCTATTTCTTGAAAAATTCCATTGGAATTTTGATAGAGATTGCATTGAATCTATAGACTATTTTCAGTAGTATGAGCATTTATTAATTCTTCCAATTTATGAACAAGTAATATGTTTCCATTTTATTTGTATCTTCTTCAATACCTTTCAGTAACATTGTAATATTTTCCAGTATACAGGTCTTTCACCTCTTTAGTTAAATCTATTTTTGATGCAGTTGTAAATGAGGTTGTTTTCTTAATTTCTTTTCTGATAATGTATTACTGGCATAGAAACATAACAGTTTTTTAATTTTGTATCTTGCAACTTTCCTAACTTTATTGAAACTTTTGCATTTTTAATATATATAAAATATCATGTCTTCTGCAGCTAGTGACAGTTTTATTTCTTCCTTTCAAACTTGAATTTATTTTATTTTATTCTTTTTCTCACCTAATTGCTCTGGCTGAGACTTCCAATACTATGTTGAATAAAAGTGGTGAGAGTGGCCATTCTTGTCTTGTTGTTCAGTCACTCAGTCATGTCAAACTCTTTGCAACCCGATGGACTGCAGCACACCAGGCTTCCCTGTCCTTCACCATCTCCTAGACTTTGCTCAAACTCTTGTCCACTGACATGAGCTGGGAGTCTGAGTGTCTCTGTCACCCTCTTCTCGTCCTGCCCTCAAACTTTCCCAGCATCAGGGTCTTTTCCAATGAGTCGGCTCTTTGCATCGGGTGGTCAAAGTATTGGAACTTCAGCTTCAGAAATAGTCCTTCCAATGAATATTCAAGGCTGATTTCCTTTAGGACTGATGGTTTTGATCTCCTTGCTTTTCAAGGGACTCTCAAGAATCTCCTCCAGCACCATAGTTCTAAAGCATCAATTCTTTGGTGCTCAGCCTTCTTTATGGCCCAACTCTCACATCCATACATAACTACTGGAAAAACCATAGTTTTGACTATACAGACCTTTGTTGGCAAAGTGACGTCTCTGCTTTTTAATGTGCTGTCTAGGTTGGTCATAACTTTCCTTCCAAGGAGTAAACGTCTTTTAATTTCATGGCTGCAGTCACCATCTGCAGTGATTTGGAAGCCCAAGAAAATAAAGTCTGTCACTATTTACACTTTTTCCCCATCTATTTGTCATTAAGTGATGGGACTGGATGCCTTGATCTTAGTTTTGTGAATGTTGAGTTTAAGCCAGCTTTTCACTCTCCTCTTTCACCTTCATCAACGGGCTCTTTAGTTCCTCTTCACTTTCTGCCATTAAGTTGATGTCACCTGCATATCTGAGGCTACTGATATTTCTCCCAGCAATCTTGATTCTAGCTTGTGAGTCGTCCTGCCCATCATTTTGCATGATGTACCCTGCATGTAACTTAAATAAGCAGGGTGACAATTGTACAGCCTTGTCATACTCCTTTCCCAATTTTGAACCAGTCTGTTGTTTCATGTCTGGTTCTAACTGTTGCTTCATGACCTGCATACAGATTTTCCAGGAGGCAGGTAAGGTGGTCGAGTATTCCCATCTCTTGAAGAATTTTCCACCATTTGTTGTTATCCACACAGTCAAAGGCTTTAGCATAGTCAGTGAAGCAGAAGCAGTGTTTTTCTGAAATTCCCCTGCTTTTTCTATGATCCAGCGGATGTTGGCAATTTGATCTCTGGTTTCTCTACCTTTGCTAAAGCCAGTTTGTACTTCTGGAAGTTCTTAGTTCACATACTATTGAAGCCTAGCTTGAAGGATTTTGAGCATTACCTCACTAGCAGATGAAATGAGTGCAATTGATGGCAAAGTGATTTCTTTGAAAGTTTGAACATTCTTTGGCATTGTCCTTCTTTGTGATTGGGATGAAAATTGACCTTTTCTAGTCCTGTGGCCACTACTGAATTTTCCAAATTCTGACCCTAAAGTTTTTAGCTTTACACAATTGGGTTCGATGTTAGATGTGGGCATGTCCTGTAAGGCTTTTTATTATGTTGAGGTATGTTCCCTCTATATTCACTTTGTTAAGAGTCATTATTATAAAAAGATGTTGAATTTTGTCAGATTTTTTTTTGTATCTATGGAGATGATCATATGATTTTAATCCTTCTTTTTTGTTAATGTGATGCATCACATTGATTGATTTGCAGATGTTGAGTCATCCTTGTATCCCTGGAGAAAACCCACTTGATCATGAGCCTTTTAATTTATTGTTGATAAATTAATAAATTTAATTTATTTAATTAAATGTAAATTTAACCAAACAAATACATAGTTTGCTAATATTTTCTTGAGGACTTTTGCATCCATGTTCATCAGTGATATTGACCTGTAATTTTCTTTTCTTGGAGTGTCTTATCTAATTTTGGTATCAAGGGTAATGCTAACCTCATAAAATGAGATTTGAAGTACTCCTTAAAACTTGTGGAACAATTTGAAAGGATTGTTGTTAATTTTCTTTAAATGTTTTATAGAATTCACCGTGAAGCCTTTTGGTCTTGGACTTTCATTTGTTGGAAGTTTTTGGTTACTGATTGAATCTCTTTACTAGTAATCAGTCTATCCATATTTTCTATTTATTCATGATTCAGTCTTGGTAGATTGTATGTTTCTAAGAATTTATCCGTTTCTTCTTGGTTGTCCAACTTGTTAATGTGTAATAGTTCATAGTAGTCTCTTAACAATCCTTTGAATTTCTCTGATACAGTGACATCTCTTCTTTCATTTCTAACTTTATGTATTTTAGTTCTTTCTTTTTTTCTTGGTGAGTTGCTAAAGATTTGTCAATTTTGCTTGCTTTTTAAAAATATCAGCTGAATTTCATCTTTTGTTTTGTATTTTTAGTCTTTATTTCATTTATTTCTGCTCTGATCTTTGTTATTTCCTTCCTTCTAATAATTTTGGAATTAGTTGCTCTTGTTCTAATTCCTTGAAGTGCAAAGTTAGGTTGTGTCCTTTTTCTTAATCTTGATATAGACATTAATCACTATAAATTTTCTGCTTAGAACTGCTTTTGCTGCATTGTATAAGCTTTGGTATATTTTATTTTCATTTTCTTAAGGAATTTTTAAATTTCTCTTTAGATTTTTTCATTGACCCATTGATCAGTATCATCATTTAATCTCCATATGTTTGTAAATTTTCCACTTCTTTTCTTTGTAATTCATTTCCAGTTGTATACCATTTGGTCTAAAGGATACTTGATAGAATTTCAAACTTAAATTTATTAAGACATCTTGTGGTATAACATATGATCTCTTCTGTAGAATTCTTCATATACACTTGAGAAGAATGTGTATTGTTTCTTTTGGATGAAATGTTCTGCATGTTTGTTAAGTCCATTCAGCCTTAAACATACTAAGATCAATCTTATTGATCCTCTTTCTGCATTATCTATCTATTGATGATGGTATTAAAGTCCCCTACTATTATGATATTACCATATTTTTTCCCTTTAGGTCTATTAATATAGTTGCTTTATAATTTAGGTGCTTTTATATTGGATGCATAGATATTTTAAAATGTTATATCCTCTTGTTGGATTGACCAATTTATCATTATATAATGACCTTCTTTGTTTCTTACTATAGTCTTCATCTTAAACTCTATTTCCTGATCTAAGTACAAGCATACCTCATTTTATTGTACTTCACAGATTTTTTTTTTAACAAATTGAAGTTTTGTGGCAACAGGGCATCAAAGAAGTGCCATTATTCCACATTATTCCAACAGCATTTCTCACTGCATGTCTCTGTATCACAATTTTGGTAATTCTCAAAACATTTCA